AAAAAGAATAAATTAAATTCTTAATTCTCTAATTTAGAGAGGTTAAAAATAAAAAACTTGTCTTTAAAAAAAAAAATCATCATACCTTGATCTATCTTGTGCTCCGTTTGAAAAATCTAAAGAATTAGAAGAAGATAATTGGATGAAAGCTGTATGTCTCTCTGTACAAAATACATTGCTTATATAGAAGTTAATGACAAAAGTTTAGCTTAAAACTATTCTTACATAGAAGGAAATACAAGTCAAGAAAGTAAAGTATAAATCTATCATAATGATTGATTGCTTCTCTGTCAACAAGCTTGATTTACTCTATTGCTTTATTCTCTCCGTGATGCTTTCCTATACTCCCCCTCAAGTTGGAGAATGAAGGTCTCGAATTCCCAACTTGCATAATAGATGAAGGAAGCGATCACGACCTAAGGCTTTGGTAAAGATGTCTGCTGGCTGTTCTTGTGAGGAAATATGTGCAGTAATGATGTTTTTTCGCTGTATGCGTTTATGAACAAAATGGCAATCAATCTCTATATGTTTTGTTCATTCATGGAATACAGGATTATTGGCAATATGTAGAGCTGCTCAATTGTCACAGTAAAGTGTCATAGGCTTTGAGTGATAAACTTGAAGATCACATGGTAAAGACTTTAACTAACTCAGTTCACTAGCAGTGGCAACCATGGCTCGATACTTTGCTTTAGCCGATTATCTAGACACTGTGACCTATTTCTTTGATTTCCATGAAACAGGTGAATTCCCAAGGCAAACAAAGAATCCAGTTGTGGAATGTCTTGTGGCTAGACATCCAACCCAATCTACGTCATAGTAGCCAAGAAAGTGCAATGGACTTGAAGATGAAAGGAGTATTCCCTAAGCTGGAAAAGACTTCACATATCTGAGCGTTCTCATGGCTGCATCATAATGTTCTTGCTTTGGTTCTTGCATAAATTGACTCAATATACCAATTGAGTAACTCAAATCTGGTCTTGTAATGGTTAAGTAAAGAAGCCTGCCCATTAATCACCTGTATTATGAAGGATTTGAAGCAAGGGGACCTGAAGCAATTGCTAAACTGTGGTGTTGCTCCATAGGAAATGGACTTGGCTTGGCTCCAATCATCCCTATCTCTGTTAGGATATCTAGAGCATACTTTTTTTGGCTTAAAACAATTCCTTCCCTTGTGCGTGCCATTTCTATTCCAAGAAAATATTTCAATGGCCCAAGGTCCTTGATGGAGAATTTTGCACGTAAGTACTGTTTTAATGCCTTGATTCTTGTACTATCATCTCCGATGATAATTATGTCATCGACATAGATCAAGATAGCAACAAAGCTCTTTCCTTTGATTGAGGTGAATAGAGAATAGTTTGCATAAGATTGCTTCAAACTAGCAGCTTGTAGTGAATTGATGAGCTTTTCAAACCAATTTCGAGAAGCTTGCTTAAATCCATAGAGGGACTTATGTAATCTGTAGACTCTATGTTCATTTTTGGTGAGAAAACCTTGTGGAATTTTCATATAAGCTTCCTCATGTAAATCTCCCTACAAGAAAGCATTATTCACGTCTGATTGGTGAAGTTCCCAATGCTTAATAGAAGCAACAGCATGTAGACCCGAATAGTAACCAATTTGGCAACAAGGGCAAATGTTTCATGATAGTCCAATCCTTCTATTTGAGTAAAGCCTTTTTCCACAAGTCTCACCTTGTACCGTTCCACTGTTCCATCTTGATGGTACTTGATTTTATAGACCCATTTGGAGTCTATGGCTTGCTTGCCCGGAGGTAATTGTTCAAGCGTCCAAGTTCCATTTTGCTCAAAAGCAGTTATTTCCTTTCTCATAGCTTCTCGCCAATGTTCACTCTTGACAACCTATGAAAATGTTTTTGACTCATCTAAAGAGGTGATGGTCGCTAAATAAGCTTTGTGATTAGGAGAAAAGGAATTGTATGACAAGTGATTAGAAAAAGGATGAAGAGTACCTGAGTTAGCCGATTGGAGTGTGACTTGATTAGGATCAATGGATTGTGACATGTTACAAACATAGTCATCTAAATGACGTGGTGCACGTGTTTCTTGTTGTGGCCTCAAAGACTACACAAGCTAGTTGCCTGAGTCTGTAGCAGGTGGTGAATCAGTTGGTGGCTATGTATTTTGAGTTTCCTCCAACGGCTCATGTTGGTCCATGGATTCAGGTTGGTGAGTACTCTCGTCAAACTTGTTAGGGGAATTGTCACTGGTTCAGGAATGCTCTTCAAATGGCTAAATTGTGATAGTAGGATTAGATTTGCCTTGATGGTGCTCATTCTCTTTAGACTAATAAGGAAAAATATCCTCATAAAAAATCACATCTCTAGAAGTAAATATTTGTTGAGTTTCCAAATCATATAATTTGTAACCTTTTTTTCCTAAAGGGTAGCCTATAAAAATGCATTTAGATGCTCTGGAATCAAACTTTCCATGATTTCGGGAATGATTGTGGGCATAACAAAGGCAACCAAAGACTTTTAACGAATCATAGCAGGGTGGTTTGTTAAACAGCTTTTCAAAAGGGGTGAGTCCTGAAAGAATAGGCATAGGAGTTAAATTAATCAAATATATGGCTGTAAGTACACACTCTCCCCAAAAATTTAAAGGTAAGGTGGCTTGAAATTTGAGTGCCCAAGCTACCTCAAGCAAATGATGATGCTTGCACTCAACGACACCATTTTGTTGTGGTGTGTTCACACGAGAAATTTGCTATAAAATGCCCTTTTTGAGACAAAAATATTTTACAAGTCCTTCAATAAATTTCTCTCCATTGTCATTGCGAATTTGTTGAACATGAGTATGGAATTGAGTTTCAATCAGGTGACAGAAATTTATCAAGTATGAAGTAGTTTTAGATTTATGTTTCAAAAGATAAACCTAAGTGCAACGAGAGAAATCATCAACTATAGTCAAAAAAATAATGAGCACCTGTATTAGAAGGAGTGGCATATCTACCCCAAATGTCACAATGAAGTAAGGCAAATATATGAGTTGAAGTATTATTACTAATAGGAAACGGTAATTGAGTCTGTTTGGCTTTATGGAAAATGTCGCAAGCATGCTTTATTTGAGGAGAACAAGAACATAGGGAAGGGATTTTGGATAAACATTTAGCAGAAATGTGCCCAAGTCTTTGATGCCCCAACTCATATGATGCACTCTGCTTTTGTTTTAGTTGACTAGTTGCTACAACATGCCCAAAACTGCAATAATACATCCCTTCGTGAAACCTACCCACTCCAATCAGCTTCCTCAAGGTAAGGTCCTAAAAAACACAAAAGTTAGGAAAGAAGATCATGGCACAACCAAGTTGTTTGGTTATTTCACTAACTAATAAAAGATTGCAGGTGAATTTTGGGACACATAAGGCATTGTCTAAAATGATTTCATTGGTTAAAATTATTTTTCCCACATGTGATGTCTCCAAAGAGGTTCCATTGGGTATATGGACAGGTGAGGTATAAGGTTTAGCTTTGGTAAATACAGATAAGTGTGGAGTCATGTGAGCTGAAGCCCCACTGTCAATGATCCAATGAAAAGATGAGTTTTATGCCTTTCCAGCATGGTTGGCTGAGTGATTAAGGATGGTATTACCCCCGAGAAGCAAGATGAGTTGGTCATACTGCTTTTTGCTCAACCCAAAAATTGGAGATTAATTTGATAACTCCTCTGTGGGCTTATGTGTTGCATTAGCCACAAAAGCATGGTCTTTGCCTTGTCTTGTCTTTTGTGCCTCACCCTTCATCTTGGTTTTGCCTATCCTAGACTTCCAACTCACAGGATACCCAATGATCTCGTAGCATCTTTCTTTAGTGTGCCCAAGCTTTTTATAGTGATCACATTGTGACTTTCCTAATGGTCCCCTTGCTGCAAGAGCTATGGCTTCTATATTTGGACCCCTGGATGCTGCCACTATTTGCTGCTTTTCTTCTTTTGTTACCATTGCATACAGTTTATTTAAAGAGGGCAAAGGATCCATGCTTAATATTTGGGATTGAGTTGTTGAAAAGTTTTCATTCAATCCCATTAGGAATTGGTGGATTATTTCTATCTCTCAAGACTTTGCATATTCTTTTGCTGCTCCACATGTGCAGCCATAAGTGCAGACAAGTACAAGTTCATGTGCCTGTAACTCATCCCAAATTGGTTTTAGTTTGGTAAAATAAGTAGATACTAACCTTGTTTGCTATGTCGACGTTGCTAGTTTGAGTTTGAGTTCATGCACACAAGATGCATTCCCTTGAGTAAATCGTTCCAGCAATTCATTCCAGATTTCCTTTGATGTCTCTGCATAAGCCACACTGTCTTGAATTCTTTAGAGACTGTATTAAGGATCCAAGAGAGCACTATAGAATTGCACTTCATCCATGCTTGGTATTGAGGTGAGGTTGTCTTCGGCTTCTCAAGAGTTCCATTTACGAACCCAATCTTATTCTTGGCATAGAGAGCATTTTGCATGGCTCTCCTCCAAGTATAATAGTTGTCCCCATTTAGCAAAGTTGTTACAAGAATCCTTCTAGGATCATCACTTGGATGGAGATAGTAAGGTGAATCTTGATCTGTGAGTTTGAGGGTTGTGTTTGCTCCCCCTGTCGTACTAGATCTGGTCTTTTGATCCCCATCTACCATTGCTTAAATATGGAGTGCAACAAAAACTTGCAATCAATGTTCAAGATTTCTATGCAGCAAAAACTTGTTGTCAAAGCTAGAAATTGCAGCAATGACTTGCTGTCAATGAGCCTTTTGCTCTGATACCATGAAAAATCTAGAGAATAAGAAGAAGATAATTGGATGAAAGCTGTATGTCTCTCTGTACAGAATACATTGCTTATATAGAAGTTAATGATAGAAGTTTAGCCTAAAACTATTCTTACATAGAAGGAAGTACAAGTCAAGAAAGTAAAGTATAAATCAATCACAATGATTGATTGCTTCTCTATCAACAAGCGTGATTTACTCTGTTGCTTTATTCTCTCCATGATGCTTTCCTATAC